AGGCTTGGGTCGGGTCGCGTTCTTTAACCGAAAAGAAGTGTTCTTTTCCCGATCCGACCCAGACTTCCCTCGTTTCGCTCTGCCGCTACTGCTATTGCGCCCAGAGAAGAGGTTCCAATCTCTCTCCGTCCTGATCGCGCCATTGGCTATTTCGCTCTGTTGTGTTAACTGAACGCCTTGGGCAGCCCCTCATTTTCAGCATAGTGCATCTGGATACACTACTGAAATTAATCTGGGCCCTACCGTGTAACTGTAACTGGCCCTGGATGGTCTGGGTACAAGACTATACTGAAATATGATCGTTGGGCGGGCTGGACTATTACCGTCAGATTTTGAGCTGAAAAGCAAGCAAACAAACTAATAATAAAATAAACGACCCCCCCCCCCCAAAAAAAAAATTAACTTTAATTTACTTTTGTTTCAGCGCGGTGGACGTACAAACTGCAGACGATTTGTGATGTGGCTTTTCCTGAATCCGAGGCTGATATGTTGGGAACATGAACTTCCTCGTAATATTGATAGTGTAAAGTCTGATCGACTTCTCGATGAACAAACAAAAGTAAGATTAGTTTGTCCTATGGATCTCTTTCAAATAGTTACCATTTTTCATGTAGATGTAAATGAGCCTTCTAAACACTGTTTTTGACTGAAAATTATTTTATTTCTTCAAATATGTAGAGGATATCACGTAGGTATTGAAGAAGTCTACATTCTTAAACTCCATTCAAAATTTTAGTTCCCTACAGTATAAACAGGCCATGCTTGAAATTTCCGGCCCGGCCAGGGGGGCTAGTGGAATTCTGATTTACCCAATTTTTTCCCATTCGATACCGATATACCCTAAATTTAAAGGCAAATACCCAAAATTCTTGAAGAATGGGGTAATTTTTACCCATATTGTGAAACGAAAATACCGAATGCCTGGGTAGGAATACCTTATATATATTAATACTCAAAACCTTTGCCAGGCCTGAAATTTTAGCAAGTTGAGACCCCTTCCGAGATTCCAGCGATTCTTAAAGTTTGAGATATTAGCTTTTTTCGTAAGCTCTTTGCTATTTAGCTAACAGAAAGGGATAGCAGAGAGGAAAACCCCACAAACGAGCCCCTTCTTATTTTTGTTCTTTTCATTGATTCTCTTCGGGAATTTTGGTCACCTATCGCCTTTTTCGTCTGTGTGTGTGTGTGTGTGTGTGTGTGTGTGTGTTGTGTGTGTGTGTGTGTGTGTGTGTGTGTGTGTGAAATGATTCTCGTTGGGCCAGTGTTGTAAACAATGCCTTCAATTATAGAGCGACGACATCATCTTTCAAACCGAAAATGGGCGATTTGAAGGTTAAGTTTGATTGGGATATTCCTTCTCTTTCCCAACTTTATTCATGTGCATCAATTGTTTCCTTTCTCTGAAAAATATTTCAGTTTCTTCCTCTTTTGAAACAAGCGCAAAGATAAGTGTTGGCGTATTGTTGGCATGCTAAAATATATGTTTTAAAAAAACCGTTAATTCTAAACAAAAGCTAGGTTATTTCTATAGACTAATATATTTCCTTGTCGAAATGAATGTGGATATTTTTCTAAGTGATAATTGTAATACAAGACATATTTCAGAGAGATGTAATTATTTATGATATTGGTATTACATGTACGTCTATGAGTGTAAATATCGGCAGAAACAGTGGATTCAGATTATACAAGACATGCTAGGGTTTAAAAGCAATCGGCTGCTTATCAGAGACTTAGGGATGGTGTTCTTGTTTTACCATCGCACTGTTCTTTGTAACCTCGCTCTTGATGGATTTGAATCGTACGCGATTCTCCAGAAAAATATCTACACTTATCGATGATCAACTGATACTGAATTTATAAATTATTAACTCTCGAGAGTAATTTCCTCAAATTACATCAAGTTTGCTCTTAAATTATTATTTAGGTGGTTATAATCTTTAATAACATTTATTTGTATCGTTTATATCGCTGATCATTTAACATATTGATTTACTACTTCCATTCTACTGAACTCACTCGTGATCCTTGCAAACTGTTTGGCCCTCAGCAGGGCGATTTATTCGCGAATCGCGCTTTTTTTTTTTGTTTTTTTTTGTTTTTTTTTTGTTTTGTTTTTTTTTTTCTTGTCCTATATCACATCTTTTCTCCAGCCAATCAGGGAGCAACACTTAAAACAAAACAACCAATTAGCAAAGATCAAACATGTTCCCATTTTAAAGCCGAGTGTTGATGATATTGGGGAAGCTTACCTTAAACGAGTAATCTGTCTGAAATAATCATGATAGCAGTTCCTCTTTTACACAAGAATTTCTAATTTGAAATACATATGAATTAGGGGAGAATTTTTCTCTGAATCGATTACACTTGGTATAGTCATGAGGGAGTTCCCTCATTGTACAAAGTAAATGAACTGTGTTTTATGGGTTTGAAGTCTGCTTATACCATTTTTATTGCTTAATTATTATTGCTGTGTATCTGGGTTTTTATTATCATCTGAACGTGCTAGCTCAATTATTTACACTGTAACTCTGACAAATGCGAAGACCTGAAATTTCGTATTGTCACCACCAAAACATGACATTGAAGATCAAAAAACGCGAGCGTTCCTCAAATTAATTCACTTCCTCAGTGAGCATACGTGTTCTACCAATGAGAGCCAATCAAAGTTTTGTCACGCCTACTTTCCCGCCCCAGGGCGCCGATCGTGATTTTCTTAAATTCTGATTGGTTCACTGCGCGAGGTACACTTGTTCTGATTGGCTGATACGCCTTTTTGACAGTTGCCTTACTTTGTATTTCTCTATAAGCCGCGTGGACTTAAGTTGCACTTGAGTGCAAACTCCAGTTGATTATGTTTCAGTCCCACTCCAAGTTTGCCCAAACAACTTACTGTAAACAGACCATGTGGGTAGAATGGTAGCTTGTTAATGTATTTAGTATCAAACATTCAAGAACTCAGTTTGAGAGACAAAATAAATGTATTTCAGCCTTTACGTTGTTTGTTTCTTTCCAGTGTCTCTTAAAGTTCCACACGTGCATTACCGTATTTTTATTACTTTACAAGTCTTCGAAACCGAATAAGAAGTGACTTTTCACGTTGATTGGTCTGAAGAATTCGCGCCATATTCGCGACAATCAGATAAAAACCAATTTTAAAAGTGTTTTTTGTCAATACATTTTGCATATGTCAACTGAGAGTTCTCATTGGCTCCCCGTTCTGGTTGACTGTTACAATTACTTATCGGGTTTGATTTATTCGACAATTAATACCCTTTAACGAGGGGGGGAGGGTCGTCTGAGAGGGGCATTCATTGTAAAGCATGAAAGTTCTGCGGTAATTAATTCTCACAGATTTAATGGATTTTACTTGATTCGCAATGCCAAGTTCCCCCAGCGACGAAAGAAAAAAACATCATAACCATATCAATTTGTAGCAGTACGAGTGGAAGTTTTGGTAGACGTCATTAATTCATCCAAGGTGCTGTGATGCAGCAAGTAATGTAAATTGAGAATAACACTTCCCTTCTTTTGTTTTGTTTTTTTTCGTATCTTTCTTATGTTATGCTGCAGATTTGTCGCCACGACGGCGACGGCAACGAGGACGTAGCCAAATATAAGATATAATGGGGAGAACAAAAGGTCAGCACGTGTTTTAAAACTTTGTGCATTTCCTCGCCGTCCTCTGCAAAACAACAGGGACCTTAAGCAGTCAGGACAGCCACGCCAAGGAAGACTTAATGTACAAATTCTCAAAACGCACGTGCTGAGCTATTGTTCTGCCAATTAGATCTCTTGTTTTTCCACGTCCTCGTTGCCGTTGTGGCTGCTTAAGGTCCCTAAAGTGTCGTCTGAGAACGGAAACACCGAAGACAAATTATTTAAGTTTTCTTTTGGAAAATAACGCTGCTCACATGCGTTGTTGAAGTTGAGATGCGGCGCCGTAAAGAGGTAAACTCATCCAACCACCAGCGAAATTGTAGCTAAAAATAGCATTAATCAAATTTTTATTCCTCAGCGTTGCTGTCCTGACTGCTTTAGGTCCGGAGATGTTATCGAAACCCGAACAAATCCCCAGAAAACATAAACAAAATTTCAATCTTACAGCGTGTTTAATTTTTAACAGCGTTTACATTATAACAATCATAGGACGGCTTAGTACTTACGCTTACATCCTGCCGAAGGATACCTTACAACTCTTAACTATACAAGATTGTTCGATAAATCTTTTCACTTGCGCTACTAATATGGCATGTAAACGAATTTTTAACTAATACACATTCATCCTATAAACAGCTTTACCACAAAGAAAGATGAGCTCTTACTTGTTACCAACGACTACTTTATAAGAATGATTTTCTTCAGATTGTAGCTTATCTTGTGTAATCATTTGAACAGCAGCTTAATATAATTATCTGAACAAAGCTATACTATACATACTTGAACAATTTCAAGTGGTTTACGGTTAATTCGCCACCACAACAAACTCGCCAAATATCACTGTGGTTTCGCGGTTCGGAAACTGATCATAATCTTCGTGATATATTTCGTTTAACGCTCCACTATTGAGACGCCACACCTAAGTTCAGAGTCCCTTTCTCTTTTCGCAATGTACTACTACATCATACCTTTTATTTGATGCAAGTTTCACACGAGAGGCTACACGTAACGTTTGAAACAAATCGCCACCGCTGGCGATTTGACTTCGAGTGATGGCGAGTTTGTTGTGGTGGCGAATTGACCGGATACCAATCAAGTTAACAGTGTTCTAACTTTTATACTTTTTCATCATTTAGAGTGTTTTGCACAAGGAGTAATGAAGTTTTTCTTGTAATACATGTAGAATATCTCTAGCTTTCTTCGACATTTAAGGTTTAACGTGTTACAACACTTTTTACTCAGGCTTCCGTAGGAAAGCCCGAGTCTTAAAATGCAAGCCGTTCTCGGTCGCCAAAGGGGAGGGGTCATGGTCCCAATCGTTCCTTTCGTAAACCGTGGAAACTGGGGATGAGAGTACTCGCTCTTCGTAAACAAAATAATTAACCGAATGCTGTGTTTTGAAGACCACCTTGCAAAGATTCCTGCCTTATTCGCTCATTCCTCAAGCAAACGCACACGCTGTTCGTTGTGGGCCCACGCTAAATGATGTCGACTGTTTTCGGAATGGGCCGGTCCAGGAACATAAAAGCTTGAAAGCTAGCCAAATGTGCAAAGTACGAAAATACTGGCAAAACTGTGACGGCCGATTTAACAACAAACTATGATGCTGAGACGAACACCTCACTTGCTGAAAAAATCAAAAATGTTCGTGAACACAACTTTGAAGGTGGCGCTAACAACAGCCAATTGGATAAGGATACTGAGAAAAGCAACTTGAATAGTAAGGTTAACCTGTTCCTGTTATTGGTTATTATTGGGTTCAATACTTGTAAAGTACGATTTGGTACTGTTTCGTACATAATCAGAATTATTGATGTACAAGCGATCGTGAATGTTGGTTTGCTCTTTGCATGAAGGTGTATGTGCTTAGAAGACACGATGAACACTACAATCTACCAGAAAAAGATGTCAATATGAATAATGCACATGAACATAACGACGCTGCTGTGTCAATAAAAGTACAACAATTTAGATCTCGTCGTGCGAATTATGTATGTTATAGTTGTACTCCTGTTATGTGTTAATGCCATGGCTATAAACGAAGCCCGAGTTAACGCTCCTCGAGCGTCTAATTTTTCACTGAAATTTCAACCTTGAAACACTAACTGTAAACGGCGAGAAGAGCAGTTTTGGATCAATGAGGCTTTACATAATTATCCTCCACAGTTCTCTAGCCCTTAGATTTCTTAGATATAACAAATTTTTTTTTAAATAAATGATCAACCATTTAACATTATCTTTAACAGGTAGAGGAGCAGCTGGGGATCAACGAGGCTTTTCTTCAACGAGGTAGTTCTTCAACCCTTAGGTTTCTCAGATTTCTCAGAGAGATTAACACTTTTTTCAACAAAAGTTCAACTTTTGGACACTATCTGTAACGGGTAGAAGAGCAGTTGTGTTTTCAAAATTATCTTCCACAGTTCTTTACTGGACACTTTGAGCAGATCAGTTAGAACGATTGCAGGCATTTAATTTCTCCATATAATATCACTCCTGAATTACACATTTAAGGTAACGAGAGTAAAGGAAATGATAAGTAACTAAAGAAATCAATTGTGAAACGATTTCTCCTTGTCAGAACTTCTGATGTGTACCGATGTTAAGTTGAAAAGGATAGGAAGTGTAGCAGCTGGAGAATAGTTTTTAGTAACAGGAAAATGTGCTATTGTTCCATGATTAAATAAAAAAATAGCTGGAGAATTCTCTCTGAGGGACACTTCTTGTGAATATGTATGTCAAAATGTTACTTGCGAAATTCCAAATCTTATAACGGGTACTCTATTCAATACTGTAACACATGTATCGGTAGCTATCACAATGAGGCCAACTTTCTGCTGTATAAATTAAATCATCTTTGTGAGTCATAATCGAATGTTGACTATAATCATTGTGGTTAATTACATTTGCCTATTTCTATAAACAGTTGGAGGAATGGTTATGAAAATAAGGAATGGCATTGCTGAATGGCAAGTCTTAAGCTTGAGTAAGTGGGCAGGGAGACGTAATGGAATAGTGTATAAGGCAAGTTCCCACCATTATTTGGCCACATTTGTCTCTGTAAATGGATAGTTTTTGAGAGATTGAGTAGTTAACAACATGCTTAACTCTTAGCCTGAGAAGAATTGGGGCCGTATTAGTCTGTCAAGTCACCTGGGACCTGTGCAGCTAGACTAAATCTGCCAGAGGGCAAGAACTGTGCCAGCATAGCTGACAGGATCCTCAAGACATCCATGCAAGACCACAAGGTCACAGTACAAGGATTGTTGCCTTTTGTTCCTCAGGGGATGAACAGGTTTGAGTTCTGTTGAGATTTGGTTAGGCATTTCTGACAACAAACTACAATGACCCAAGCAGTACTCAAACCCTTCACTCTGAAGATGAGCCCACAAACCATAAAGCCATCAGGTTTTCTGTGAATTGCCAAGTAATCACTGCACTGTAGATTGAACAAAACCTTTCACCTCATTTTTACTTGCTAACCTGCATTTCAGCAATGCCAAAGAAAGAACAATAATTACTGAATGAAATTACAAATCAAACTTCAACTGGAAGAGTGTCTGGATCCTCAAAGGCCAAGTTTCCCACTCGCTGGCACCAAGCTGTGAATGACTCTGAAAAAAATGGGTAGGAGCATATTTAGTAAATAAAGATGAGCACTAGGGGAAAATGAATCCTAAAAGCTTTTGTCACTAAAAGGAGTCATTATTGTAACCCTTTCACTCTGATAAGTGACCAAGACAGAAATTCTCCTTACAAGATCAATACAATATCAAGCAGACGAGTGATGAGAATAGACAAAAATATCAAGGTAATTTTTAGTTGATCCAATACTAAATTCTCCAAACTTACATGATAAGAACATGACAGGACGGAAAACGTGTGCACTGTAAGTACCTCCCGTTGTCCCATAGAAAGCCTTCGAAAAATTTCCTAAGGCTTTGTATGGGACAATGGGAGGGTACTTACAGTACACGCATTTTCTGTCCTGTCATGTGTATGGCAGACAGTAAGGAGAATTTCTAATGAGATCTTGGGACTGAAAGAGTCAATTTACTTTTTTTAGATGTTTTTCAAAATTACCTTCAACATGGGAGTATGAAAACATTTTTAACTTGGTGGAGTACAAAAACATTATAAAAAAAGGGAAGGAAAGTAGAAATAAGGACAGGGAATAGGCCACACACTGATAAGAATAATGTAGATTACCAACAACCAGCCTAGAAAAGTTCAGTATAATTCTTCACGATGCACAATCTGTGATTGTAGCTCATTAAACCCTTTCACTCACAAGATATCAATTTATAAATTCTCATTACATGTTCCCTCTTATAATCAATGAGAATTTGAGATTACATCAAAGGAGATGAAGCCTTTACCTGCAGAATTGAGGATAAATTTTGGTGCATAATCAGTGCCAATAAACAGCACATAGAAGGGGAGACCAGCCACAACGACTGCCAGAGCAATGAGCGATCCCCAAGGATCAGTTGTGATTGGAGCAACTACCAGGTACACAGAGGCCAGCAGCATTAAAATGGGTACAAGTGTAAAAATCTGAGAAAAAACAAAAAGAAAATTGTTGAATAATTATGACTTTTACTTCTCAAAGGCCCATTTTCTGGGTTCTTGCAAGCCAGAGAGCTGGCACCAGAATCAAGGGTGTGGGGAAGACATTAAGCAATGCTGTTAAAAAGCTAGGGATCATTATGTGACCTTACCTTGTAGGGCCTGTTCAGGTCTGGTCTCTTGTATCGCAACCAGAGGAGAGCAGCAAATGTTCCTCCATAAAATAACCAGGCAGCAAAGCTGAAGAAATCCACCAAACTTGTGAAACTACTAGCTTCTGGAATCAGCATGATCACTGAGATGAGGGTCTAGTGAAAATAAAAGCAAACCTTGAGTCATAAAACAATCTGACTTGTCTGTGAGACATGGTAATGCAGAGAGGGTCAGGTAATTCTCTTCCACCAGCCCCCTCCTCACCTCTTTCTCAAAGGCTCACATTTTGTCTCTTTTCTTGTGCAAGAATCAAAGTTCAATGAGGCAAAAATTAAAAAAAAAAACCTCCTGCTGTTTGTTCTCATAAGTTTTATACAAAATTTTAAAATCTATGATCCCTGTTTTCTTCTTGGTCTGTCATAATTATACAGTACAGACCTTCAGTTACCCAAGCTAATAATATAAGAATTTGGACTATTTTCTTAGCCATGAATCATTTGGAGGTAAAGGGGCTCCTAGGGAAACCTAATTTTTGTACATTCTCAGGAAAGGGTGTTGGTATGAATCATTAGGAGTGCAAAACTGATGGTAATTTTACAATGAGTGACTGGAGAGCAAAAATTTGTATTACTTTAAGAGGGGGGCTTTGGGATTTTTGGTTTTGACTATTTTTTGGATCGGTTTTTGGGCCAAAAAGGTTGGTTTTTCGGTTTTGATGTTCAGAGCAGTTTGCGGATTTTACATGTTTTTGCATTTGGTTTTTGGTTTTCACGAAAACTCTGATGCGGTTTTCGGTTTTTCCTTTTTGACCCCTTTACAGATGAAAATGTAGTGGTTTTGTCAAGTTTGCATGCGGTTTTCGGTTTTGCTGCCTTTTTTTTGGTCAGTTTTTCGGTTTTGGAGGTTTTTTTCTCCGGTTTTGCGGTTTCCCAGAGGCCCCAACGCCCCCTCCTTCAAATTATTGATGTTTTTAGAAAATGAAAAGTCCAGAAATCAGGACACTTCTTAAATTCATACATGATGAGGTCTGTGTTTGAAAATGAAGTAGCTGATTCCTTTACCGTGAAAAACAGAGATGGGAGAGGGGTAAATCTTTTAACATGAATCATGGCCAAAAGAGGAGGCATCAGTCCATCTCGTGCTGCTACAAATACCAGCCTGAAATAGAAATTAGCATTTGTATTTAGTAAATCAAGAGAATTCTCACATTCCAAGGGGGTTATTACACAATCATTTAAACCAATAGGGAGAATAGCGTATTGCTCCTCCAAAATCACTCAGTGAGTTTACTGGTTCATTAGGCAGTAGATTTCTGACCAAGTATGTCAGTTATTTCATTACAATACATATAATGTGAATACAGAACTGTCATCAAAAAAGGAGTGTAATTAAGGGGTGTGATTACTACTGAAACTCACCTTCCACTAGTAAAAAGAAGCCCATTTACTGCTCCAAAGGTTGAGCATGCAACAAAGACAGGAATTATCCAACTTACTGGACCAAGGTACCTGTCCCCAATACTCTATAACATTGATATAGAAACACCCTAACATCAGTATGTACATTCTCCATACTAGACTTTATAATATTTCCTAAGGTGCTGAAAAGGAGAAAGAGTTTATCAATCAATAGCTTCTTTAGTTGGTACTTTAATGTCTGATATTGTCAGGAGATCTCCATACATCTGAGATTGGGTGCTAGTCACTCTTAGCACCACTGTTTCTTTAGAAACTTACCCTTTAATTTTTTTAAGCTAACCTTGGTGATTGCAAGTGTCTAAGGTGAGTATTAATCTCTATTCTATGAATCTAGACATTGATAACTGAGAGGGACAGTGTAAGAGCAGTTTACATATTAGTCCTTTCCATAAGATTGAGCAATTTGTTCAGCATGCATGTCATGCAAGTCATAGATATAGAGCCAATGGCTAAGCACCACACTGATACATTTAATTGTGAAACTACTTACATGCCAGTTTAGTGCCGCTTTGGTATATCTGTACATGTGCTATTAGCAATCAAGCAACAAGCTTAATCCTAGCTTCTTAGAGAGTTTAAGTTTCCCTCCCAACCACATTATGACAGTTTTGATTAGAGTTTGTAATTTATTCCTGATTACTGGACTGTTGTTTTTCTGTATCCATCAAAAACCTTTGATGCCATAGTCTATGTGCATAGGATATATACATTTAATAAACTGTACGTCTGGTCCCAAAAACAAGCCTCTGTCTATTGAGGTGTGTAGACCAATATGTTTGCTCTTTTTTGCTACACTTTAGACCATTAAGAAACAGATAATTTTGAGAGGAGAAAATTTAACATCCAGTCTTTGGTCTCAAATGAAAACCCTTGTATCCACAACATCAAAATTCCTACACATGAAACGTACCACTGCCACTGCACTTGACGCTAGGATACCAGATGCTCCCAAAACTGTAATATATGCCACATTGACCAACAGGTAACACACAGTGGTGAGGGAGATACCAATGATTATTGCCCTCGGCATATCCCTGAAAGGTATCATTTAAATGATGTCATACTTAATCAGTTTAATAGAGTACACTTAATATTCATGAAAATCATATGGGATTTGCCTACCACTACCTGCAGTAAATTATTCATAGAAAAAAAAGCAAGAAAAATCATATGGGATTTGCCTACCACTACCTGCAGTAAATTATTCATAGAAAAAAAAGCAAGAAAAAAAAACAATAAGTCAAATTCAAATTTATTAGCATGTAGCATAGACATACAGCATTATGACATTTATTCATATATTTTTCTATTTTTTGGAATTGCTTGAAATCCATAAACAACATCTGGTACCCTTGAGAAGTTTGAAAGAATTTTTCAGTAGAAAATCTGTTTAGTTGCTGGCATATAGCCAACCAGTAGTTTTAAGTGCAAATAAGTAGCAAATTAATCCCTATATGCATTTTCCCTTTTTTTATTTTTGCTTTTTTCTATGACAATGTTATATCAGTTAGGTGTATATGGGTGTGATAAGATTGAAAATCTAGGTAGGAACCCAGTAATAAAACCCACTACTCAATCAATGAAAGAGCCTTTTTGTGTACCAACCCCTAGAGCATAAAATATTGAATTAAAGCATCAAAATGTCACAAGGCTGTCACAGCACTGTCAGATGTTGATAAACATGGCATGAAAGCCAACAAATATGTTTACAACTTCTTACATACTGGATGTTAGTTTCTGAAGGCTTTTCTATCTGCATCTCATTTTAATAGATTGCTTTTGAATTAAAACAAATCTTCAAACTAGGAGCAAAAATTGGTGCTAAAGCTATACCAGGCTAGCAGTAACATTGAAAGTGTAATTATCCACTTAGAAACATTCTACGAGCACTTACTTTTCTGGGTGTTTCATTTCCTCTGTACAGTAGTTGAGATTGTTCCTTTTAATAAAAGAAATTTCATGAAAATTAATTCCAGACCACTAAATATAAGTTGTAGTATAATCACACAAGTTAAAATTTCTAATATGACAAAAAGGCATTTTCACTCACCATCCATCGTATGCCCACAGACCCAAGTAGAAAGCCATACCAATCTTTCCAATATTTGAAGTGGAGCCTTCAAAGCTGTTTTTAAAGCTCTCTGTCTTTCCTAGATAAAAACCATAAATAAAAGTTATAAATTTCAACATGATGATGTCTCAAGAACATGTAATCAGTTTGTCCTATGAAAGTAATTCAAGGGAAAAAGGTTTTAGCCCTTTCACTCCAGTGATCTCACTAGTATTACTCCTTACTTCTGCCATGCAATTCACATGAAGTGAGTTTGGAGAATTGGTATTGGATCTAAAAACAGTCCCCTAATTTACAATTTTATTTATTTTCATTACTTGTCTTGGTCACTTTTTTGGTCACTTTTTTGGAATAAAAGCTGGGTTTAAAAATATTTCCTTGAAAGATATTTTAATTTCCCACTCACTTTTAGCACATTGGGACCTGAACAGCAATGTTTTCTAATTTGGCACACCAATTTTGTTTGCATGTGCATGCATGTGTTTGAAATACAATTGGATGTGGATAAGATTCTATCTACACAATGTGTGCCTGCACAGCTGGTTACAAATTTTGTGATAGTTCATGTCTAGGATTTTTTTTGAAATTGAGGCACTTTAGATCAATCAATTTGTATTGGGGGTGAAATGAATTGAGACCTCACAAAAGCAGGAGATGACAAAGGATATTTACAAAAGGAGGGGGGAAACTTTATGAATTTAGAGTGCACCCTTATCATAACGTGGCTTATATCACTGCTCTGGCTCCTGTGTTCAAGCTGCAAGGAAGTGTGTAATGTTAAAAAAGATTTATGCAACATAACTTACCATGTTTTCACCTAGGTTTGTATAATTTTGACTATACAAAAAAAAAAATCCCCCCCCTTAAAAAAAAAAGGGTGCCACAGGCATCCCAGGGGTTCATTAACTATGCCTATAGGTGACTTTGGATAGCATGATCAGATCTAGACAAGAGGTGAAACCTCCGGCTTCAAACAAACCTTTTCCTAGTTCCACAAAACCAATGACAGTGATCATTATGATACAAAGAAGCTTGGCATATGTGAAGATGTCTTGAATTCTTACAGCCCACTTTACACTCCAGCAGTTTATAACCAAGAGGATCACTACAACCAGAAAAACAGGAAAATATTAAATTCAATAAAAAACAAAAAATTCAACTGAAAATATGAGTGCACAACTAAACTATTTCAATTTTTTTTTTTTTAAATGCACTTTCAATTCTTTTGGTATATCTATATTGCTTGTTAGCCACAAATTAATTTGAAGCTGATGTGCTCTGTCAGCAGGGAAGTGAGACACCTGGCCTATGATTAACAGAAAATTGATAAAGGCAGAATATGTATGCCGCAGTACCTTATCACAATTTGCCAAGGTGATTTATCTACCTTAATCAAATTCTGGTTAATTATCGACTATCTGCGAGTATGTATGTGCAGGCTACCAAAACCTTATCATTCTTCTTCATAATTTTACCGAAAGATAACAAAAACCCATTTATACCAAGAGGATATTAGAACTGCAAGAATACTGCCATTTAATTTGCACATCTTGAGAACTACATGATGTCTGCTTCATTCTCATTCTTAAGATTTTAGGTTTCCCTTTAAGCTTTGTTGATGGACTTCTGTAAGCTAGCCTGTACTGTATATGCATTTTCCTAACCACACTTTTTTTTATGGACTTTGATTACTTTTCCCTTGAGTTCAAGGAGCTTTTTGTTTAATTAAGATGCATCATGCTTCAAGAATGTCAAGGCATTAAACCATGAGCAAAATATATTACCCAGAAATACTAACATTAATATCATAATGGCATTTTCTTGCCAATTTCAGCAACTGAAAAAAGCCTGGAAAAAAAATCAGCAACACATGTTTTCAACCCTTGCTAAAGCTATAGATTAGCAATAAATTTCTTTCTTTAATCTTTGTGGCTTTTCATAAATCACTTTACTCCTTTAGCTCTAACAATTTTTTGAATCACTCCCCTTTCTTTATAGTATTCTTCATTTTAACACCCTGGGCAGTATCAATTAACAATTGGCAATAAATTAAATAAAGGCAATAATATTTTCCCATAATTAGCACTTCTTATGTATGGGGTATCTAAGGGACCCTTAGGAAATTTGTTAGTCTTGATATACTTTTAGTTTCCTGGTAAGACCTTGAGCACACCCCTGTTGAGAACTTAACATTGTAAATTGCGTTGTATAGTGCACTGATATTTGAAAAATAGAAATAACACCTTTTAGTTTAGTTAATCAAATTTCAAAGTATCCAATTGCGGTATAATTTCTATCGTGGTGTCTAATATCAGGAATAGTAAAATAAATTCTTGAGCGATATTGAACCTGCGGTTTTACGTTATTCAGTACTGTAACAATTCATCTTGGAGATTGAATCGTAAATTGGAGTCTAATTAAAATTTTCAAAGATCGATCTCAAAATTTCTCTGAGCTAAGTTCCTGTTGCTCACAACGACTCACTACCAACTCGAGAATGTCCCTGACGACTCAATTTAGGGTTTACATTTGAAATAAATGAATATCAAATTACTAAACATGGATGATGCAATGTCCTCCCGTGATCCATAGCCTTTGATTTAGGTTTACAATTGTGGCAAAACATGACTGTAGTTCTTTTGGGAATTTAGGACAGAATTCACTTTATCTAATCCCATGTTCTCCCTGCGAGGTCAGGCGACAAAAGTTTGATCGGTGATATTCGATTGCTACGATGATATAGAAAATGAAAAGTTCGACCACGTGCGCTAGCAAGGGACCTTCACAAGGATTTCTGAAGGAACGATCGATCATGTTCTGGCGATGAAAGACTAAAATCAAATGCTTAAGTTTACAGGTGTAAAGCTTTATACCAGTATTAACTAACTTCATGAAGATGTAAACAAATTTCTAACTACGCTTACAAAATATGAAATCCCGCCAAAACAGGACACGTAGAACCACGTTTTAGCCCGGGGCTACATAAATACAAGTAGGTTGAAGTGGAAACCAAAAGGCTGATGTGGGCTGAAATGGACACGACTAGTTTTACGAATGGAAACACCATGCTGTTTGATTCTTGGCGAGCAACTTAAAAAAAAGATTTCAAACTAGGTGAACTGAACTGATGTTCAGAAAAATGAAGCGTATTAAATCTTACCAAGACAAGAACACGCCAAAAGCTTCATAAGGTACGCCGGGGGTTCGCAATCTGGATAGAATGGCTTCGAGACGTATTCAGCGAAGGTTAGAGCGATTATGGCTCCCGATGCCGGCCGTATGATTAACACAGAGGTCCAGGCGAACAAGTAAGCAGGGATTTTTCCAAATGCCTCCATAAGATAGGAATATTCACCGCCAGATTTCTTTATACAAGTTCCCAACTCGGCGTAGCACAAGCTTCCGAACAACGCGATCAAACCACATCCGAGCCAGATCAAGAGAGCAGCTCCGATCGAATTTGTTTCCTCAAGGATACTTGTCGGCGAAACAAAAATACCAGAACCGATCACCGTGCCTACAATAAGGCCCACGCCATTGATAAGCGAGACATTCTTCTTCAGTACGACTCTCTGTTCGCCTTTCTCTTCTTCCAAGAAAGGCTCTCTTGTCTTATCGAGGGAATTCGACTGGTCTAAGCTCTCGCTCGACGTCGATTCGTTGGCAAGCTTCTCCCCAATATCAGAATTGACAACAGGAACAGGGGGCATGGTGAAAAATATAAGAAGAGTAAGATCGACTTCTTTCCTTCTTTCCTCGCTAGCGTGCGATTCAAAACACAAAACAATGAATGAAGCAGCGAAAGCGCGCCTTTTCAGGTTCAATAGCAAAACAGTGATGGTGATTGGTTAAAAGAACAAAGAGACTGTTATGAATAATCAAATTTAAAACAGATTGGCGCCAAAAAGTATTGCGTAAGTCATGGCAAACACGAGCGTAGCACGTGGTGCGGTTAACAAAGCCTTCGTCCAGCTGATAACAAGTCAATAAAGCTGGGTCCGGGTTTTTAATATTTCATGTCATTAGAAGGTCAGGAATACAATAAACCAAGACACCAATGGGTAATAAAGATTGTGCGATCGAGTGAAGAAATGAAAACGAAAATTTTTTTTAATGAAATTACTCGTAAATAAAATATATTTCGTTCAAATTGATCAGCGAATACTGATATTAACCCAGTGTTTCATAACGGTCACCTGCCTCGATACAAAACAGTGGGCGAAAGATAGTAAATTTGTGAAGGACCCAATCGCGAACTTTGAACCCAGTTGGTGTAGTGTTAAGCAAGAATTTGAGATTTTTAGTATCTTAAGAGTTCAAAATGTTATTATTCATCTATGACACCTATGAAAAAAGATGATAAAAAAAATCAAGCTTAGCCGGGGAATATTTCTGGATCAATATTGGAAATTAACGAAAATTAGAGACATTGTAAAACTTAAACAAAACAAGAAAATAGCAGGTATCCACGTTTAACAATGTAATATAAGATCAGCTGGCATGGCAATATCAAAACCAACTGGAAAGGCTTTGCCCTCGAGCGTACCTGTCAAGAACTTCAGCCGCGTCACAAATGAAAATTTTTTATTCTTGTTAATGTAAACGTTGTAATCAAATGCAACTCTACCCAAGGCCGTCGCCCATCACATTGGTGAACAACGTTTTCCCGCAGAGGTTTGCTCATTTTTCAAACGATCACAACTTTTAAACAGCCCTAAGACTTCAAAATGAAACTTGCTTTGAAAGAACACCAACGGAGTTTCGTTAGCACCTGCTCGG